AAGTTTCACATTTTGTTCTTATACACCAGTATTTAAGCTCATTACTGATTTGTCATTTAAGGGTGTGGATAACGTGGAAGAGATTCCAAGTTTGGTTTTTCAACAGTTATTATTTACTACGAAACTTCAATGATATCCTCACCACACTGTTTTCTAATTTATTTCGGATTAAACATAGTGCAGCTCTTGGAGTATCAAAACTAAGTCAAGAAATTAGGCTAACAAAACATTCAGTAATGGGCAGAGAACATTAATAGGGTAAGTGCTCACTGACAAAAAAGGGGACACTTTTTAAGCATCGAGAAAAAAGCTTTTTTGGAGGAGAGGGGTCAGAGGAGAGTCGCATCTCGAAAGAATATGATAAAAATCCGTAAGAAGCAAACATATATTCTTTTATTCCTGTTCAATTGATCTTATAAATACTTTTAAATCTAAAAGTAGACAGTGCATTCTTGCATATTAAAATTATCTTTTTTTACTGTTAAGAACTACAAATTCTGTGTGTCATTCATATCAAAGCTTAAATCTTTTTTTCCTAATAACTTGCAGCAAGAAAAGAATGGAATTAGGCGTATATTTTAGTAATTGCTGACAATTTTTAACACTGAGAAAAAGGGCACTTTTGGGGTATAAGGATAGGAAGGCAAGGGCTCGAGCCCATCCAGCCACACCTCTATGCACGTCACTGAAAACTTTAGTTATGAATAATTTAAACAACCGTGGTAGTTTGACCAAAAACTTCAATTCAAAGTGTTTCTACGTAATATTTATAAAGGATATATATATATAATAAAAATTATTATTATCATCGTTTTACAAAAAATATTCTAGGGTAGTAATTAGCTTAAGGTTACAAAAAACGTGTTGATTTTAATAAACAAGAACAAGATGGTGTCCAATGTACGTTTTAGTATAATCATGTAATAGAACTTGTAAGGTTTGCAACTTTTACATTGTATCTTATATATCTCATTTGTGTACAGTATAAGTTTGTTCTTTATTTCAACTCCATCCTGATACCATGTTACTTTTAAAATAAAAGAAGAAGTTTATACTTCGATTTTAGTGTATGCATATTAAAATACTGCTTACACCTGGTACCGCCTGCAAAGACATATCCTTCTACATGTAAGTCGGTGAAACAAAGAATACGAACATAAAGGAATTTGCATATTGATGTTTATAGAAAGCGTTTAAGATAAAATTATAACACAAATATGTATATATGTATACACACAAACATTACACTCCGACTTTATATCGGAAAATCACTTGTATAAGATTATAAAATTTCAATGGTGAAAAGGCTTGGATATTTGGTAAGAAAACCAAAAGGAAATAATAACTTGTATGATGACAGCAGTGGCTTAAGTAGGCCCGAATTTGCCAGAATCTTAACTACAATTATAGGGAAATAATTGTAGGGCAGTGGCGTAGCAAGAGGGGGGCAAGGGGCAGTCGCCCCCGGGCGCAGGTGTGAAGGGCGCAAAATTTCCTCTGGCCTATAATGCCCATTAATTAATAATCATGCCCTCCCCTAGGATATTGCGCAACTGCCCTACGTTAAGTAAATACGACACAGTGTTACGTTATTTGTGTGTATTAAAAAGCCACCCACTGAAATACAGTGAGACCGAATTGACGTACAGAAGTAAATTACACTATTCTATCATTCATCTGTAGATCAAATACAAGTCCTAGAGTACAACGTACAAGTAAGTGTATGTTCAACAAATAGAAAATACGAGATTGATGTAACATATTAACTGGTGTGCAAGGTTGGCAATATATGCAACAGGAAAGACCTAGATCTAGTAAACATTATAGGCCTAATGTAGTGGTGTGTAATTGTATTGGCTGATTGTAAATCATGTCTTACACCAACTAATGTACTTGACTTTAGGTCTAATTGCAGTTATAACTTTATTTCTAGACCCTCGGTCCATCATCATGCAAATTATAGCCTATATTATAGGCATACTTAGACCTATACTAACTATCAAACTAGGCATTGCACTGGGACAGATCTAATAAGTAAGTTAATAGATCCAGATGTAACATTTGTTCTAAAAGTTAAGTCTAATAAATCTAAATCTATAATTGATGAGGCAGGGTTATATCTAGATCTGGGTAGATTCAAAACATTGTGCTTTCAATATATGTACCCAAATCTAAGGTCTAGTTTAGATGTATAAAGCTAAATTTCTGTCATTATTATTACATCTAGATCCAAACCTAAGACTAAAAAATGTAAATAACAGGTCTAACATTAATGTTAGATCTAGATGTACTAGCGACTTAATCTAGGAACTGTAATCTAGCACCACTGATTAATTATTCTATATTTAAGTTTTCTCATTCTATCAAAACTTTTAATATTAAATATAGCCTTTGAGCCTCTAGGCTTATATTATGATTACACCCTTCTCCACAGTGTGTGTAATTTTCATTCGAGCAATTTCAGACTTGTCTCCTGTAGTGTTCGTGTAATTAAACTTATCGAGTTTTTAAATGTGATTTAGCAACTGCCAGTAATTTATATAGTGCTCATAAGCATGATTTACCAGCATATACACTTATCTGTATTGATTTTCTTACTGTTGTGTCACATTAATTAACATGAGAATAGGTGGTCTAAATAATGACAGTTAAAGTGAAACCAGGTTCAGATGTGCCTGACTAGTCCTGAGTTGCAACTATAATTGTATAATTTAAATATAATTTGTGGTTAGGAACTTAGAAAAGTAGAATGCTCCCTTTCATCTGACAATTTGCATGTTGCAACTAGATAGTGTAGTCAGTATTTATGAATTCATTTTTTTAGCCCATTATGTCGAAAAAAGAAAGTGGAGAACGGGGACGCAAAATACGTGCACAATTTGCAGCTTCTATGGTGGAGTCAAGCAAATTGATGAGCACTTTCCTTACTGGAAGTGATGGCACCAGTTGTTAGAGCAATTAAGTGAGAATGGCAACACGGCTGAAACAAAATGCGGTGCTCATAATATTCT